TCTGAACTATACTTTTGCTGCTATCCAAGGACCAACAGTGACTCCAACCACTGTCACACCAACAACTACTAGAACCACCATTGTCCTGCCCACCACTGTCCTACCCACCACCGTGATGCCAACAGCTGGAAACGGTAAATTAATACATATATTTTTTTCATATTTGATTTAATCTTCATTTTGATCTTCTGAGCTATACTTTTGCTGCTATCGAAGGAGGGACAGTGACTTCAACTGCTGTCCCTTCCACTGTCCCTTTGACAACTTTAAATCCTCCTCCAAAAACATGTAAGTAGAACTAAAGCGGTTAGTAAGTGAAAGTATCCCTGTAAACCACGTTGATCTCTTGTGCTTCCAGCTCATCTTACTGTTGTGAGACTGAAGATCTCGACTAAACTGTCACTGAAAGATGATCAGGACAAAATTGTGAAAGCGGTGAGGGATGTTTTTAACTGATTTAGTCCAAATGTGTTGATAATGTTAAACAATAACCCAGAGTTTTGTCTCAGTGATGCAATTAAGCTCCACTGTTGATATTAGTTTTAATCATAGAAGCTTTTCATCATATACAAAAAGCACCACTTATTTGTCTCTTATACATCTTATTTTTTTCTGCAGCTCAAAAAAGAACTGATTAAACAAGGGCTGCCACCTGATATAAAAATACGCCTGCTGAGCAATGGTTCACTTGAAGTTAATAAAACTGCTGACCCCTAGTGACTGATTGTGAGATAATTTTGATCCCTGCAGGAAAACATCAATGTTATTTGTTTTTTATTTTTATTTAGTTACCCTTTTCATCCCACAAGGAATGTTAGGTAGTATTTAACCTTAATAACTTCCAAATTTTGCTATTATAGTTGAAAAGTTTAAATGTACACATTTCTTTATTTCTATGTTTAAAACAGGGTTGGTTAGGAACATTTTCACAGGCATAAATTATATTTGTTAAGCAGTTTTTTAATAGTAAACAAATGAGTAGAATATAAATAAGATCAATATTCGATTTTACTTAGACTATTTATGTAGGCAGATATTCACATAGGGATTTTCTACTTTTTTCCCCCTATCCTCCTCATTAGATAGATATATAGATAGACAGAAACACAGACAGAAAAACAGACAGACAGAAAGACAGACAGACTGACTTTATTCC